GAGAGGAGAAGAGAGAAACACACACACACACAACGCGGCCGCGCGCGCGCACACACACACACACACACACACACACACACACACAACACACACACACACACACCCCACACATCATTAGATTAGCATAGAGCATGATCTCATTAGTCATTGCAGGTGCTATCAAATATCGCTCAGCGGCTTCTGCACGCGCCGCGGATACTCTAGAGCTAAGTGCAACCCAGGGTCGCGATCAGTATAGGCGTTGTTATACGAAGGGGTAATTACTACGTACGGTGTGACAGACAGCTACGGATTTAATCACTCTACCTGTATAAATACACGTACATTCAGATTCTGATGACACGCATAGAACATATCAAGAGTTAATAATACATTAGCCTCTTACTATTATTAGCTCTTGAACTTTATAAACATGCATATAAACATATATATATATATATAATATATATATAAATATATAATGTACATATATATATATACATAATATATATACATAATATATATAATATATATAAGGCAGGTGTGAGGTTATATATATATAATGACAAAAGCGAGACATACAGGGAGATTTGAGGGAGGGTGTGTGTGCATGTGCGTGCGTGCGTTCGTGCGCGCGCGCGTGTGTGTTTACATGTGTGCGTGCACGTATGCGCGCGCGCGTTTTACCTTTCGTTGCGGAGAAGGAGACGGCCATCGTGTCTTTCTGCCACCTCACGCAGGCTCGCTTGTCGGCCCATCCTCCCCACAGGTTCACCACCTGCTTGCCCTTGTGGTAGACGGTGAAGGCGGCTCCATACTCCTCTATGCCCTTGTCGAAGTTCTTCCTTTGGGGAGGAGTGGATGTGAAAAAAATGATGTCATTCAGAATTATATTCGTGGATATATTCGAGGATAGATAGCGCGCAGTAGTTGATAAATACGTAGGTATATAGCTGTTTTCATGGGTTTATGTGGCGTATATTGTACTTACACTTGCGATGAGCATATACGCACACAAGCAAAAGCCAATGATAAACGGATTCATAATGACAGGACGATGGTAACATATTATCAGGAGTGAATTATTATTATGAGGAGTCTATTATATTATTCACTCCTGATATTATAATGACATGAATAAGGTCTTATAATATGCCCTATAGTATATGGTACTTTCCCCCGTGCCCTAGGCCGTATGAAACCTTTGTAATGTATATCTTACACTAAGAGGTGGTATATTTATGTTGTATAGTACAATCCAAACCAGTTTCTCACCAGCTGCTTCTACTATCAGAAACATATTAATGCACAATTGTCTGTAATCGTTAGGGTGCGCGTTAGGGCTACGTGTATATATACGAGCACGACGTCCCATGTCATCACAATAACAACAATAACTTGTTATCATAATTTTCGGGTGCCCTACTCGGCTACTGGCCTTGTTAATAACTTGTTGAAGCGCCCTAACTCCAAGAAACGGTCTTGCTATAGGGTTAGAAGTATCGACAATCAGTCGCACCGCCTCTTCGGGTTAGAAGCGCCCCCTGGTTAATTAGCACACAGCCCTATACAATACAACATTTCCATTACAATGGCTTCACGCTTGTCCCCGAACGGAAACATACATAATCCGTATACAAACAGGCAGGGATTTATAGAGTTTAAGCTGAACGATCACAAACAGCAAGAAGTCTAATCCACGGCCGTGAGTACGTTTTTCTTGTGTCGCTACCCCACATAAAACAACACAAATGTCGATCTAAACGCGTGTTGCGCATTCCAACGTCGAAGTAAATAATTATCACTGTGAACTAGGCCAACTAAATGACTTGGAGCGTATCTAACTCTGTAACCTGGCCATTTGACACACGTTAGTCGCGGAATTCTAAAGAGCGAAATATTTACTTTTATGATAAAACCACGAGCGCGATGATTGGATGTTTAAAATGATTATGTCACGCGCTAGCTAGATTCGTCAAAAAACGATTTTATCATACGATTTTCATTATAAATTCCAAGATAAAACATCACTGAACTCCTACGCGACAGCAAAATTTCATTCAGCGGCAAAAAATTACTAGACTTTTTTCTCCCGAATAGAATATACAGACGATTGCTTAGCGTGCGAGCGTACGTGTCACTCGAAAAAATACGAGATCTCGGAATATAAGGAAAACGATACAGTGATTGGATCATGAATTCCAAACGAGAACAAACGAGCAGTTGTTTTACGTTCATGGTTAGTCAGGTTGACCCCGACAATATAACGCTGTGCTAATGAAGATCCTTACATGTCTCTCTAAGTCTCTCGCCCCAAAAAGATTTGGGAAATTCGCCTTGAGCAATATTCAGTCGTTACCAATGTATATACGACTCTGCTAAAGACCGAGCTCTCGCTATATATATTGCCTCGCTGCTTAGTGCAATCGTAAAAACAGGTATGTGATAGATGTAATAACGCAGCGAGGTAATTTGGCGTGTGTATGGGGCACAATCGTTTAATTACCTCTCTTAGAGACGTGTGCAGTTATACATATAGCCACGAAGAAATTCCTAACAAGCACTTAAAGATGCCTTCCATGAAATGTGTATCGACGACGTCGCACGGAGATTAAATATTTTTAGGATTATAGGTTTATACTCATGTATATTCTTTTGATAGGTGATAAAGTTGCTCGGGAATTAATTACACCTATTCAAAGTATTTTTGTCACTACTTGGTGCTAGCGGACCTAATATTTTAAACAGCGTAAGCCATTAATTGAGTTATTACCCGTGTTATATGCATCACAATGAACATATAGGCCTATATATATATATATATATATATGTG